ACCTATATTATTAATAATTTACACTAAATATAGGATATTTTGTCCCTTTCGCAAAAATGTGAGATTTTAGCAAAGTACTTTATTGATACCGTATTGTCACGAAATAACGTGCAGGGGTGAAATTAAGAATCTCGGTCTAAATTAAACTTAATTCGAGCCATTATTCTAAATAATGCCCATGCTCGTTATTTCGTGACAATACGGTATATCTAAACATAACCAATAAGATTGCACATTATTATAGTAAAGTTAGTAAAAAGTATAGAAATTTTAGGATATGTTTAGGTGCAGTAGTAGCAAAAATCAATGCTTTGCATCTTTGACCTGTTTGACTCGTGTAAAGACGATTTTTGTCCTGTGATCCTTACAGATTAGCCCAACCTGGGTAACAGCTCTAAAACACCTATAAATGAATAATGTAAAAGAGATATTACTATAAATTATTGGGTCTAATTACAAATATAGTGCAGGTCATATAATGATGATAGTGTATTGTAAACCAGTGTTAATTTAATAGTAAAAACATAGAAAGCTCAAGCTGCAATAACTGGGGGCTTTTCAATAAAAAGGGGGGAGATTTCTTTTAAATAAAAGTTTTTTAAACTTTAAATTAAAATATCTTAATAAGACCATACAAACTTAATAAATTGGTTTTCATAACCGGCCGGATCAAATTTCGCAAAATTCTTAAAAAAATTTTGACTATATTTACTATCCGGGGGAAGTTTTTTTAGAAGTTTATAAAAATTTTTATATACTTTTTATATATATAAATTTTTTGAAAATAAAATTAAAAGCCGGCTTGCTGGGTCATTTTTTAAATTTTATGTTATGAGAACCAAATAATTAATTTTGTATGGCCTAACTATTAAATTAAATTTAATAAATTTTTTATTTTAATTCTATAAAATTATAAAAATTAAAAAAAATTTTATTAAATTTAATTTAGTAATTATTGAGATATTTTAATTTAAAAATTAAAAAAAAAGTTACTAAAAACTTTTGTCTCTTTTTTATTGAAAAGTGTCAACTCTTGAACTAGCAAACCTACAAAAATAAATTTATATTTGTCAAATTGTGCTTTTTAATATAATAACATCTTTTTTTTATTTCTATTGTCTAAAGTGTAGTAGAGAAGAATAAAATAATACCAAAATTCTTGTTTTTGATATATCATTAAGGGTAATTCTATTTTGACCTGGGTTAAAATAATCTTCAACAAAATTTTAAGGTTAGTGCAGGCTAGAATTATGTTAATGCTGGCAGGGTGTTTTTTAATATAAAAACCCGACCAGCATTAACATAATTCTGCCTGCACTAACCCTAATTCTAGGAAGCATCATTTTGACCTGGGTCAAAATAAAAATTCCCTATTATTAATAAAAATATCAAATATAGCTTAATAAATTACTATGCAAGATATTCAGATATTTTATATTCTATATAACAATAAATTTTAAGTTGTATTTTGGATATATTGTATAGTTAAAGTATATTTTCTGAGATAGGTTGTATACAAATGTTGTCTTGTTAAAATTTTAGAGATACAGACAGTCTTAAACAGTGTCCTATATTCTAAACAATATTATATATCTGTGATAGTGTTTTATATTATATAGTTTATTAAAAACTTAATTGGTTAATAAAACTATTTTCAAAAATCAAAATAAAAGCTTACTAACTCTTTTTGTTAATCTGCAATTCCTAATTGACTAAAAACAAAAAATTGTATTTTTTGAAGAAACTCATATAAGAAACAAGATTTCTTGTACTAAAAAAAAAAGAAGATTTCTTAGAATAATTTTTAGTTTATTAGAATAGCTTCTTACAAAAAACTTTAAGGCTAGTAATAAAATAAAAACTTTCAAAAATTTTTAGAAAATTTTTGAAAATTTTGGAAAATTTGTTTAGACTTTAAAAACCTAATCTTAAAAACATGTAAATAATAACAACAAAACAAATATGTAGAATCAGATAAATAAACAATCAAATAATAGATTGTATTGCTATTTTTAAAAGATATTCAAAATAGAAGTACTCATATTTCTTAATAATGTTATTGATTAACTTTAGAGTTAGGATCATTCTATATTAGAGTCAGGATAAATTTTAGATAACTAAATATAAGCAAAATTGCTTTTCTGATATTTTTGATTAATCTATCTGAGGTAGGTTTAGACAGCTATTTTTTATATTTTTTAGGTTTTTAGTTTTTATTTTTTGTTTTGCTTCACTAACAATCATCAAAATTTTATAATTTAATTAGTGATTGATCATATAATTTGCTTCTACTTTAGATGTTCCTTATTTTTAGATATAACAGAAATAATAAATCAACAAACAATATATGTAACTAGCAACAACAACAACAATAATACAAAAATAACAAATATAATTTCTAATAACAAGTAGAAGTAGATTGTTCTAGAAAACTTACTACAGTAAATATAGAATCTATAGCAACAAATTTAAAGTTTAGATTAATTAAAAGAAAAAATTAAACTAAAACTTAATATAAGCTAGGATAACAATCTTAAGAAAATTAAGAATATCTTTGCAATGCTAGTAGAAAAGAAACAAGAGATTTACAATATACAAAAAAGATTTGTTTTTCAAATAAACAAAAATATAGCAAAATTCTTGAGATTAGAAGACTCAAAGTTTGTATTATTTATACATATAGCATTAGAGAACTACAAATTAGCTTTTTAAAAATTTTTAAAAGAAGATAAGCTAAATATGAAAGATCAAAAATTAATAGATATAGATCTGAAAACCAAGACAATCAACTTTGGTGAGTATATTATAAAAAGAAAATAAGATTGTTCTACAGAACCAAAAGTAGAAAAAAGAAAATCTTTACTTATTTTAACTAGAATAGTAATAGAAGAATCTATAGCTTAACTAATCATTTACAAAATATTACAAAAAAAATTATATAGTTATAGAAAAAAACAACAAAGAAAATCTGAATTCACAGAAAAGAAACAAACACAAATACCTTATATACAACAACTCTTTCCAACAATCTCTTGGTTAACAACAAAACAAATCAAACTACAGAAAAACAATATAGGAAAGCAACAAAGTAGACATCTAAATATTCAGCAGGATAGACAAACCTATATTTGGTAATGATTGATAGTAGCTTAGTTTAATTTAATAAAAAAAATTTTTCATTTTTTTTATACGCCCTAAAGTACTTTTTATTCCCGTGATTTTTCAAGTATTACCAATTAAATTTGGCCAACGAAAGAAAAAAACTAAAAGTTCTTTGAATAATCTATAACATATTAAATTTAATCAAAATAATCACAGTAATGACCATTTTATCTTAGAGATGAATTTTATAAGAAATGGAAGGTAGATCAACTCAAAATTCTAGCAAACAGTGTATTGTGAAGATATGCAAAGGCATTTTAGCAGTATAGAAAAAAAGTAACTGACAATATGTTGATTAAAACAGAAGCTAACAGCACCTTGGCTTCGTATTATAGAGACCATAAAGATGAGTATATGTGTTTTAATTGTTATAACATGATTGTAGTAAATAGAACAGATGTTTTTAAGAAACATGCTATAGAATGGGAGAGAAGATTAAAGAGATCTAGAGAGGATAATAACTTTTCTATATTTGAAAGTATTTCTATATTAACTAACATCATTTTTGAACGAGAGGTTATAGGAAACAATCTACTTTTAGTTTCATTTCTTCAACTTAGACTATTGCCGAAAATAAGAATAATCAATTAAAATTTTTTTTTAATAAAATCGAAGCCATGGCCTGCTTGGAAAAAAAAAATAATTTTAAATGAAAAGCACTTGATCGGTCTTTAGCATTTCAATGCTATCTAATGTGCTAGAATCAAAGTATGGCTATATCACTTTGGAATTTAAAAGACGAATTGGTAGAAAACAATAACAATCTTATGTGGGTGGATAGCGTTAATGTTTTAGCACAGTTTTTATACGATCGGGAAAAAAATAAACAAGAACCAGTCATTTATAGCTTTAAACAGCTACGAAGAGAAATAGTAGCTAAGGATTTTAGGTTAAGTAGTTTTTTTGATTCAATTTATAATACATCTCTTCTGGAAAATAAAAGTACTAAACATTTAGATAAGCTAAATAAAAAATTAGTAGTAGAATATTATATTATTTGTGGCAATCAAAACTCTAAACTAACGGCATTTAAAAAAGATATATCACTTTTTATAGATTTGATGGGGGTTTCTACAGAAGCTATAGATGCCTTATCACATACCAATATAACAATTTCACGAAAGTATCTTGATAAGGAGAAGACAGCTATTGCTGATAATCATATGCATAAGGTTACTTCATATTTAGAAAGTAAAAAAAATAATATCTTAGTGCTTAACATCGATGATTATCACAATATTTATACCAAATAAATCCCGAATACATGTTCAACTTCAAGTGCAGCATATATGACAACTTTGGTGTTAAATAGTGTTGATACAATAGCTATTCCACAAATCGCACAAAATAGTATATTAGTTTATAATCCAAAACTAATCGATTCTGAACTTATTTGTACTTTTTTAGATTACTACTATATGGAACGAATGTCTAGAACGTTTAATGATCAATTTTATTATGAAGTACCTTCGAATGAAAAGCTTGAAAATATGACTCTTCACAGATATGATGATCGTATACAAGAATGGCGTGAAAAGCATAAAATGAAAGACATAATTCTCTTAGACTTTTTCGAATTAAGTCTTAAAGAGATAGATTTGTATATTAATGCTTTATAGCAAGTTTACAAAAATCCTTTACTAACTAATTATTTAGCTAATCATGTTATTCCAATTGTAGCTGATTGGCCTGGACAGGCATTTACACAACAAGCCATTACCCTCTATTTACTTAATTATAAAGATAATATACCAGACAATATATTATCTTTTATTCTACTGTAATTATTAGTGTTCTCCATATTTAGCTAAATTTACTCGAGTCTATACTTAAAATTTATTAGGATTTCTTTAATATGGAATACAAATATATTTTTAGTACAAATAGAGCACTTAGCCAAACACCCACCCCATATTGAATATTTGTACTTTTGGAGCTAGTAAGAAGTGCTTGGAAAAAAATTAAACCAATAGTAATAGGTAAATTTGATAAGCACTGCAAAGATATTGAGTTTTTATTTTTGTTTGAATTACTAGACAATATGGTACCAGTCAGATTGGATATATATTCGACTTTATTTCAGTCTGGGGATTGGGAATTTTATATTGAAGCTATATTCTAGGCATGGTGTATTTTTTTACGGTTTGAAAAGCGTAATTATAATAAAGCACCTTTAGCATTTCTTTCGAACATATTTTATTGAAATCAAAATAATCATCCAATATTAACTGTGCTAAAGATTATTTAGTTAAATTTACAGATTATCCTGTTGAGAATATGCATAGCAGAATACGATAACAGACTTCATCTATTGATACTCCGGAACAACTTTCTAAAACGGCCAAGGTTATTAATACTAGAAAAGCTACCAACTCATTCGAAGATATGTTTGTCATTCAGAAAAAGTCTACATATGTGGACAAAAATCACTTGACTTTATTAACGAAAAAGGCAAAGGTTTTTCTTCTTAAAATCTTTAGTAAAGTTTACCAAAAGCTAGGTCAAAGCTCTATTGTCAAGGATCTGGATGAAAAAATTGTTTACAAACTAGCATCGTTAAATATTACTATAGATAAAAAGCAAATGCTGTTAGGATTCAGCAGTAAGCATTTACCAGCATATAACAAATGTGATCAGTGTTATGAATTATTATGTGATGGGACAGGTAAAAGCTCTATAGTTATTGCATGTGATCATAGATATCATGAGAGCTGTTTTATTATTTCATTAAATAAAAAATATTGTTATTG